GCTTCTCCCCCACCATTGCTATCACAATCACCTTCACAGATCCCATTCCGGTAATTAGGATAGAGTTAACTTGAACGGATGAAGAAAAGATGCAGTCTAGCTCCCTTCCCCATCACTGCTCTCTTTGTGTGGATAGGAACCACCTGAAGAGGACAACACGGAGTCCTTGTGCAACTTCTTCACATGATTAGAAATGCTGATATTATATGACTCTAGGCATACATAGAGGTCCACTTTTCAAAACACCTCTTTCCATGCAAAGAGAGCAACAACAATTGAGATGGGGCTAACTTTATTTCTATCCTTACACATTCAGGTTAATTCTATCCTGAAAGCCTGAATAGGACTAATGTCAACAATCTACTCTTGGTAGTTTCTGGATACAGACAATACTGGTGGAGTATGGAAAATCCTAACATCTAAACTTTCACTGCCATCAGTCCTGAGGAGTGTGGAAAAGGGTACAAGTTCAGCAATTCCTTCATGCTCCTGCACCCCATTCCATGTTTTCAGAAGCATCCTCCATTCTTTACAAATTGCACCTTGCAAAGAAATGGTGACAGAAGGAAGGGTGGTCAGAGATTTTTTGTGTGTGTGGACTACAATTCCCAGAATCCCCTGACAACTACAGCCACTGAAGTTGTAGTCCAAAAAGAAAAAACCACCCCGATGTCTGATGACATGCTTTCCTTCCACTAACCTCCTTCACTTATTTTATTACCCAAGCCAAGAGCATCCTCCTCCAAATATCCTAACCTTTACATTCCCTCTGCAAGGGCACTGAGACATTTACTTTGAGGTATGAGCTGCCTGCTGCTTTAGCAAGGGTGGGGGGATGTACACCACCATTCTATTCCCCAGGAAGATTTATGAAAGAAGAGTCAATTAAAAACATAACAGAACGAAAGGGTGGGGAGGAGAGCAGATGGTGGTGGGATTTCTGAATTCCTTTGGGAGCCCATTCCACCGGTCGTATATCACATAGACTGGGTATCCAAGAGCAAAAAAGAACAGATCTTCCTAATACAGCTCTTTCTATCATAATATATGAGCTGAGACTGATTGGCTCATCTGTTATTCTGCTTAGTGAAGGAAGAGCCACTAAATGAGGAGTCAGAGAAGGGACCACTGGTACCAGCAACAGAATGTAAGCACATTCAGATGGGCTTGACAACAACCCCCATCATCCCACCACCAGCAAGAGCATGCTGGCTGAGCATGCTGGGATTGATAGTCCCAAACATCTGGAGCCTGCCAGTTTGGGAAAAACTAGTCTATAACAGTCTGCCTTTGATGGGACTGGGCTTGAAATTTTCAGCCTTAGTAACTCTGGGAACACCAGGCACGGAAATGGTGGTAGTGGAGGAACCCAATTATGGGTTTGGTTGGGGAGATCAGCGTGTGTGTGTGTTGGTGAATCCTCCATGTAAGAATGAAGAAAGTGCTCTTATATGTTTTAATTTTTTTTAAACAACAGCAACAGCCCTAAGTAGCATTGAGGAAGTGTTGCAAAAATGATCTTGGAGGCCGCACTTCGTCCAGGTACTGCTCTTTGCCTCCCACTGATCTACAGGAACTCTACAGTAAATCTTGACTGCTAGTTGTCACACTATGAAAGGCTGCGCCAAGATCTCAACAGTGTATAGACTTTCTCTTTTTGGGTGGCTACTAGGAAAATACAGTGGTGCCCCGCTTGACGATGACCCCGGTAGACGACAAAATCACTTGACGATGAGTTTTTTCGGTTGCTATTGCGATCGCAAAACAGTGGTTCCAATGGGTTTTTTCCGCATTACGTTGATTAGGAGCCTGCTTCACGAACCGTTTGTTCGCTAAACGATGATTTTTCCAGTTCCGCAAAATGGCTTCCCTCCCCAAAATGGTTTCCTTCCCTTCGCAAAATGGTTGCTTTCTGGACCCCTGCTTCGGAAGACAATGATTTTAAACAGCTGATCGGCAGTTGTCTATGGGCGATCTTCACTGGACGATGAGGTATTTCCCCATTGGAACGCATTAACCGGTTTTCAATGCATTACAATGGGGGGTTTGTTATTTGACGACAATTTCGCTTAACATCGATTTTCCTGGAACGGATTATCGTCGTCAAGCGGGGCACCAGTCAAAATGTTCACATTTCTGCAGCCTCCAGAACTGTTTATTCTTTTTAAATGTTCTAAATAAATATTGCCTTGAGAAGTTCCATATTCTTGGGATTCCAATCATTGGTTTGGTACATGACTTGATAGAAACCTTTTTTGATTATGGTGATTACCTGCCTGTTTTCAAAATAAGAGTGCAACGACACGGTCAGATACCATAAGATTGGCTCCACTTATAACATGGGTGAATTTGAAATATTTCTAGTGACAACGTGATGCAAAGGCTGATTCAAATTGGTCCAAATCTTTTGGCTCCCAAAGTGGCTTTTTTTCCTCTGCTGCTGGGGGGGCTTCTACTTTTTCAAGCCAGAATGATTTGAATGGGCTTTTTCCTGTGTGGTTAGTTATATGTTCTTGTAAAGACAGGAAGTATGTCTTTAGGTGTTGTTTCAATGACATTCCTGCCTTTGCGGATCGTTTTATAGTTTGCAGTGAAGCCGATTTCTCATTTAAAGCTTCAGACTACATTTTTCAAAAACCTTTCTATAGAAAAATAATACAGAAAGGTACTTAACAGTCTAGTAGTTTAGAACATAACCAACTCCTCCCCCTTCCCATATGTTACTCTGTTCCCTTACTTCTAAGTAACACATACAGGGACCTCATATCTTGTCACATATTTTTTTAACTATGCGATACTTGTTATGGAATCATTCCAAGTGAATTGTGATGTATTTTTAAAAATTACTGTTCAAACTTTTGATGTTTTATACTATTGGACTGTATCTTTCCATGTTATTTTTCTTAGAAATGTTTTTCAAAAATGTAGTCTGAAGCTTTAAATGAGAAAGCACCTTCACTGCAAACCATAAAAGGATCAGCAGAGGTGGGACCAGAGGGAGGGAGGGAGGAAGGAAGGAATGAGAGGATATGAGCTGGAATGCAATTTGCATCACAACCAGTATGAACTGTGAACTCCCAAATCAATCGGCAGCCCCTGTGTGCACACTGATTGTGATTTCAGACATAGAGCAAGCTGAAGATCAAATCCAATGTAGTTGCACCCTAAACTTAGAATATACAACCACCCTGTAAGTATACCGCTATAATAAAGAAATCCAGTGTTATGTGAACTCTACATATATATTGTGGATCAGGATCTTGAGCCTGCCCATGTTGTTGCCATGGTTGCTCTATTAATTACACACAAATACCCTATTCACTGCGTGCAGAGTAGAACCCACCGTTGAAGGGTAGAATAACAAGCATACATCACGCCTTCTGGGTCTACCACAGATGAGTACATTGGGTGGGCTTTATATTGTATTATTTATCGAAAAGAATACCTAGCAGAAAATTAGTTTTCTCCTTCTAGATATGAGGATACGTATATGTATGTGTAGAATTCATAAAACTCATCTTTTGCAATGCTTAAGGCCAGCTATTCATGCAAACAGGTCTTCCCTCCACATATGTTGGATTGCCACCTTTTTTTCCATTTCTGGTCTCTGTTGGCTCTGAGAAGCCAGTTAAAACTGTCTCTAAGTTTATATGGCTTGTGTTTTTTAAAAAAAGAAATGATTATGTATCAGATATCAAAGCGTGTTGTATAAAAATGGCCTGGGATTGTTAACAGAATAAATAAACCACTACGTTCCGTTTATTGAGCAACCCTGTGATTTATGACCCAGTCGTTCTGCTTTATGCTACTCTGTACTCCAGGCGATGGGATCCTGCAGAAGAGAATCAAACAATATGAAAATAACCCTTTGTCTTCCTCAGCAGTCTGCATTTATTGCCTTATATAGCAATTCTATGGAAACATTTTCCAAGGAAAGGCGTCTCCTACTTGCGCAGTTAATCGCCAAAAGAAATTCACTTAACTCTTCCAAACTAATCCAATTATTGGCAACAACAACTACCATAAGATGCAAGGTTTTTGGAGGGGGGAATATCCTGTGCAGGGGGACAGGTGCCCCCATAGGATGGATACATTTGCACCAAAACAGCAAATCAAGAAACTGGGCATAAAGTGAGCTTTTCAATTAACAGGGTTGGCCCAAGACATTTTGCTATCTGTAGTTGAGCAGCAAATGGTGTCAGTCACCCCATTGAATCCAAGTTCAGGGACAGGAAAAGCTGTCATTTTTGCCTTCCCTTTAAGCTTTACATTCTTTCAATCACAGATATATAATCAATGAAGTATCATCATCGTTATCATGTGCCATCAAGGGTATTCTGACTTATGGTGGCCCTTTTGTGTGGTTTTCTAATTAGCGTATATTCTGGCAACACGTCTCAGGGGGTTCTGGGTACAAAGTACTCAGATTGGGCTTACCTGTGCCTTTTTCTAGCGGTACTCTGGGACTGCACAGCTTGCCAAAGGCCACAAAGTCTGGTATGTTTCCCAGGAGACACAGTGGGGAATTGAACTCCCAATCTTTGGCACTGCAGCCAGGTAACCAAAAATCTCTAACTCTTCTGAGTTCATATACTCACCCCCCCTCCATTTGGTATAAGAAGAGAGAGAAAATTCTTCCATTTTAGAACCATCAAATGTGAACCCAAAGAACTGCTATCAGTTCTAACTATGGTTAGTTAACAAACTGCAACATCAAACTACTGCTGAGTAACCACGATTCCCTAAGTAATGGAAGGAGCACACATACATATTCCAGGCTCATGTAGACCCACTTATCAATGCAATGTTTATCAACTGGGCCAATGTTTTGAAAACACAGGGACTGAGAGAATCAGGACTGGTGTGCCTAAGTAACACAGAATTTCACTGTTCAAATTTTATATATTTTGGTTTTATTCAAGAAACAAAATAAATAAAGACTACTGGAAGCAAATGGAATCCTGCATATAGTCTGTGAAAATGTGTGTGTGAGGTCTCACCGAGTGATCTTTCCTTTGTCTGATTTGTTGTCCTCACCACCGGGAGACTCGCCCTTGTACGGCTTCCTCTTGCAAAAGGAGAGGGGGCCTCGCCTTCAGACATGATTTCCAAGGAGTCGGCAGACGCCTCTGACAAATATTCAGCCTGATCTCCCAAATTGGGCTGCGGACTTTGAGACAGTTTGGGGCTCCTTGTCTGTGAAATAAAAATAGATAAACATAAACCATTAAGAACGAGAAAATCCTTTTTTTGGGGGGGGATAATATGAAGAGTCCTGCCTGAAGAAAGACGGGTGGGGGGGGAGGATAAAACTTCCACTGGATTGCTGAATTTCCCATCTTTTGGTTAGCTCAGTAATTAAGGTATCTGGATGCAGAGCCAGAGGATGGGAGTTCAATTCCCCACTGTGCCTTCTTGATGGGGCTGAACTTGATGATCTATAGGGTCCCTTCCAGCTTTGCAGTCCTAAGATGCTAATATGTACAAATATACACTGCATTCAGGGTGACCCCACTGTGTGTTATTTACAAAAGATTGTCTCAAAGTATCCCATTAAGTTTTTTATTTGACCATCTAACTACATAATGGGGACGCGGTGGCGCTGCGGGCTAAACCGCAGAAGCCTGTGCTGCAGCGTCAGAAGACCAGCAGTCGTAAGATCGAATCCACGAGATGGAGTGAGCACCCGTCGCTTGTCCCAGATCCCACCAACCTAGCGGTTCGAAAGCATGTAAATGCGAGTAGATAAATAGGGACCACCTCGGTGGGAAGGTAAAAGCGTTCCGTTTCTAAGTCGCACTGGCCATGTGACCACGGAAGATTGTCTTTGGACAAAACGCTGGTTCTATGGCTTGGAAATGGGGATGAGCACTGCTCCCTAGAGTCGAACACGACTGGACAAAAATTGTCAAGGGGAACCTTTACCTTTCCCTTTTATTAACTACAGAAAATCGTATCTGACAAATACTTAAAGTCCGAAAAACCCACAACAACCAAATCATTCTAGATTAGACAGATGGAAATTCTACTCCCTTACTTTGAGAAACTATTAATACTGTCTGTAACAACAATACTAGGTAAGTGTGCACAGACATATACAATAAAGCATGCCTGCTGTGAATTACAGCTCTGTCCAGCCACGTTTCCATATACCAGTTTCTTATATAACTGTGTTGGTAGAGTAGGCCCATTGGATTAATAGGGATTTTGTAAATCAACTTCTCCATAAATTCCATCAATGGAAATGAGGTTGCTCTAACTGTGACTTACTTCAGCACAGTAAGTGGCAATTAAGAGTTTGTTATGTGCCATCAAGCTGGAACGGACTTGTAGCAAGTCTAATAGGGATTTAAAGGTAAATGAGATATTTAACGAGTGATTTTACCAGTTCCACTCCCCCAGTGTGTCGTGTGGGGATTTGAACCCTGGTCTCCAGAGTCCATCGCACTGTCCACTACACCATAATGGGTATCTTCAATGCTGGGAAGATCCATTTAAACAATGCAATGTATGGAGGGATTGACTCACTAAATCCCCATTGATTCAACAAGCCTAGTATCATTTACTACATTAAGCAATAGGATTTTGGCTTATGTTGATTTGCATCTAGTCTGTGGAGATGAATGGGTATTGGCGCAGAATTTGTGCTTAGTTCTGCAGAGGGGTATAATGATTTGGCCATTGTGGAAGCACTGTTGAAATTACTTTAAGATGATATGCCAGCAAAGTATTCACTGATAAGCAATCAGATTTAAAAATAAATAAATGCCATTTATCTTAAAATCAGGAAATAACACATTTATCTAGAACAGTGTATCATCATCTGCTAAAACCCTGCTAACTTTAATGCTCCCACTGGCTTAGATTAGAAATTGTCATGAACCGGAAGTTTGCTTTAGGTTTATTACACAAATGTGGAAGAGAGATGGTTGCAGGTGGAAACCTTTGCAGAAATCTCATATTCATTTACCACATATAATAACAAAGAACTAGCTACTCTAATGCTCCCCACCAGGCAAGCCTTTAAAAAGGATGCAAATGATGTGCATTATTCCAAACAATCTGCTCTGGATCCAAGATGCATTTTCTGTTTGTTATTTTACCTCTTTCTCCGTGTGTGTCTTTGTGACACACAAACACACGCACATTCCTGCTGGCAACGCAAAGTGTGTTAATTCATTGCATTTATAGAAATACTGTTTGTATCAATTTTATATATGCACACATACAAATCTGTATAAAATCTATAATTGTATATACTTGTTACTACATGTAGCAAGTGTGATGTTTCAACTCAAAGTGTACAATGCAGTCAAAAAGTGTGGCTTAACTGGCAAGACGGAGACTCCAAACTCAATGATTTCCAAAATGCATTTATAAAACTACAACACTCGTACAATATGGTTAAAGAACAAATTAACCAGGGAAGATGAATACTCAGAAGCAACCTACTGCACGATCTCAAAAATGCATTTCTAAAACTACAATATACAATATGGTTAAAGAACAAATTAAGCAGCGAAGATGAATACTCAGAAGCAATCTACTGCAAGATAGACCCAGGAGAGAAAGCAACAGAACTTTGCCAGTTGTCACTTTCACCCCACAACTGAAACAACTCCCATACGTCCTAAGTGATCTCCAACCTATCCTTGACAAAAATACTTCACTTTACTAAGCAATTGGTAGCAGGCCTATACCAGCTCATTCTCAAACAGCTATTGACACACAACAAGTTACACAACACTGATACAATGATGGGAACTATATCCTGCTACAATTTACTCTGGCAACACTATCACAGGGCCCAACAATGCTACAAACAACATCAAGGACATCTTTACCTTGAAGAGCCTTGTGTTGCAGTGGTTAAACTGCTGTATTGCAGCCAAAACTGTGCTCACGACCTGGGGTTCAATCCCAGGTCGCGGCTCAAGGTTGACTCAGCCTTCCATCCTTCTGAGGTCAGTAAAATGAGTACCCAGCTCACTGGAGGGGGGGGGGAATGTGTAGCCTGCATAATTAACTTGTAAACCGCCCAGAGAGTGCTTGAAGCGCTATGGGACGGTATATAAGTAGCACACTTTGCTTTGCTTTGTTTGCTTTACCTGTTCCTCAGCTAATTACCTCTACAGCATCTTTTGCCAAAAGTGCCTCTCTGCATAGGGCAGACAGGACATTTTCTACACAAACACACAAACATAAATGGAAATACATCAGACATCAGAAATTGCAATACAAAGAAATCTGTCTCAAATCACTTCAACCTACCAAGACACTCTTCACTAGATATGAAAGTTGCTATTCAGGAGAAGAAAAACTAAAGATTAAAAATCTAGAGGATAGCAGGTGAGATAAAATACTGTATATACACATGCTGGAAACCCTTACCAGTGGATTAAATATCAGTCAAGATTTCTTAATTCATTACCAAATGTAATAATTCTATTATTATCTACTGTTATTTTCCTTCACAACTACCAAACCCTTTTTTTCAGAACAAGGATCAAATGTAAAGTTGGCCATTCTGTATATTACTACATGTTGGTCCTCTCTTGTTTCCTTTAATCATGGTTGCTCTTATAGTTAGTCTTTAAAGTACAGTGGTGCCTCGCACAACGCAGTTAGTCTTTAAAGTACCACAATGTCTTTTTCCCCCTTTTGTTTTGGTTTCTCTTTCTTGTTGGAATGCTTACAGAACCAGACTTCAAAAGAGCTAAGTACCAAACAGGGGTCATAAATCATTATAAGGTTCAAAGTGCAACCAGGCAACATAGTCTTTTAGAGCCTTGTATGAAGTCTCTGTATTCTAACTCAAATGTCTGAAGAAGTAGACCATATTCCATGAAGCAGGTAGTCTTGAAAGCATCACAACTAGAGATCACAACAAACCACTGATTTGACAATTTGTGCCAGTTCATTTATCAGCTGAACCATTGTTCAGTGTTGCAAAGTCCCGCCTCCTTTGGTGAGTGACCACTCAGAGGCAGCAGCCAGAGGAGGAGGGGCAGGGGAAAACAGGCCACTCGTTCTGAGTGGGTGGGTGTCAGAAGAGGCGGGGCTTTGAAGCATCAAACACCTGTTTGAATGACAAATAAACAGACATGAATTGCTGAACTAGTGGTTCATGTCCATCTCTGGCCACAATGTATTTTGTGTGTGTGCTGTTGTTTTTTTTGCTTTTGTTTTGTGTTTCTTGGAGGAGGGGCAGGGGAAAACAGGCCACTCGTTCTGAGTGGGTGGGTGTCAGAAGAGGCGGGGCTTTGAAGCATCAAACACCTGTTTGAATGACAAATAAACAGACATGAATTGCTGAACTAGTGGTTCATGTCCATCTCTGGCCACAATGTATTTTGTGTGTGTGCTGTTGTTTTTTTTGCTTTTGTTTTGTGTTTCTTGTTTAATTGTTGTTGTTGTTGGTTTTTTGCTTTTGTTTTGTGTTTCTTGTTCAACTGCTTTAGTAATTGTCCTCCCACTTCTCTCTCCTTCTTAGTACAAAGCTACTGCTACTGGGCCATAAGGAACTGTTGTGTAGATACAACTGGGGTTCTCCCAACCAATGCGTACTTTGTGCTTCTCTGTCCCATGCACACTACCCAGATCACTGGATGAGTTACAGTTCTTGTCTCCTCTAAAACCATGATTCATTGTTAATGATGTTCTATATTTAGAAGTCTGGAAAATGCTGTTCAACTCAAGGGTGGATTTAAAAACAAAGAGAACCATATTGCTGACATCTGGCCTTTTTGGAACTTTATTTTATTTTATTTTTTTGAGTGGGGAAAAGGTGAGCTTGCTGCAGAAATGGCACAGATCATGTTATACTCCCTCGATAACCTTGGCTGAATAAGCAACGGTAGCTTTTTATTGGGTTTTCATTAGCTTGCTGCAATACTTCAGCCTCCCTCCTTCTTCTCTTGCCAACATGTCCAGTTGCTTGCAAAATATAATAACTTTGAAATACCTAACAAGAAATCCAAAGCCTCTAGAGCTTTCTGCTTACGAAAGGTTTATATTAATATACTAGGTATTATCCTGGGTCCTGCAGTGACACGATTATGAAGCACTATTTTTCCTCTCTCTCTCTCTCTCTCTTTCTCTCTTATATCTAACATTTTTCTTCTTAGTGAACTTAAGGCATGCTTTGAAGTGCTTTTATGACATCCGTATTTAGGCTACAAGGCTTAAACACCCTG